TTCCTGGAGCTCACTTGGTAGCCCAGGCTGGCCTCGAACTCACAGAGATCCGCCTGCCTCTGCCTCCCGAGTGCTGGGATTAAAGGCGTGTGCCACCAACGCCCGGCCCAAGCAAGTCATTTTCATCAGCCAGTTGTTGCTGGGATTTTATCTGATACAATTTAATGAGGGATGGATGAAGAGATTGAGGGACAGAGGGAGAGTAGGAAGAGGGAGGAAGGTGGAGAGAACGGGGAGGGAGAGAGAGGGAGAGAGAAAGATGAAGAAAGGAGTGGTAGGAGAGGGAGGAAGAGCTAAAGCCCTTGAAAGCACACGAGACAAGGCTGTTACTGTTCAGTAGAGTGGAGGTAAAGAACAGGAGGGAAAGGTCATGGCTTGGGCAGTAGTAAAGGAAAGTGCTTACTTTTTGTTTGTTTGTTTTTGTTTTTCGAGACAGGGTTTCTCTGTGTAGCGTTGCGCCTTTCCTGGAACTCACTCGGTAGCCCAGGCTGGCCTCTAATTCACAGAGATCTGCCTGGCTCTGCCTCCCGAGTGCTGGGGTTAAAGGTGTGCACCACCACCGCCCAGCTGGAAAGTGCTTACATTTAAGTAAAGAAATGTGGAGTGTCTTCAGGAGCTGAGGAAAGTGTCCAGTAGATTAAGGTTAATTAGAAACTTGAGAGTTAGGGTATTTTCTAGAACAGGGCCCCTTAAGGAAGATGGAGTGAGGAGCACATGAGACACCTCAACCAACACAACAGGATAACTCAGCACTTTGGAGATCTCATGAGCACACTCTTGTTCTGATCTAGGGCCTGGGGATGTGGCAGGAGGAGAGTGAGAGGGGGCGGGCATAGCTCTCTTGTGCTTAGCATGCACAAGGGTCTGTGACTGATCCTCAGTGCTCTGCACACACACACACACACACACACACACACACACACACACACACAGGAGGGGGATCTAAAATCAACTGAATTCTGTAGCCTCTCCTACCATTTTCAAGGAAAGTTGCTTTCAAGATGAGGCAACCCATGGAACACAGCACACTCTATTGTGCTGCTCTGTCAGGCCTTAGGAGGAGAATGGATTTGACAAGGGGGCACAAGGGAAAGCTTGAGGCCGAACTCACTCTACCAGGGCAAGAAGTCTAGCCATGAGATCCACTTCCGGATGGTGAAATGCCAATGGCATCCCAGAGAGCTAGAGAGAAGGTGAAGCTCCCTGTCCTCCTTACAGCGGAATGCATGCAGTTTTGCACACAATGACCGAGAGCCGTCACTAAAGCTTTTCTTCAGAGATAACCCAGGGATCATCTCTGTGTAGATTACAGCAGTTGAGTGAGGTCTGAGCAGAAAAATGAACCACTGTGAATGACATGGCATACAAAACTTTGTCAGAATATTTTTTCTGCATTCAGTATAGAAGCTAGGTGTGTGTGTGTGTGTGTGTGTGTGTGTGTGTGTGTGTGTATCCATTTTCCTAATAGTATTATTGGAACTCCATAGAGTCTTTGAACAATTAAAATAACATAATTAGTAAAGGAATAAACATAAAAATACAAATTTACAAACTATTTGGAAATTGTAAGGACTTTGAAATGATGTAATATTCATTCAAGATAATCTACAGAATAGTTTCAAAGACTAGTGAAAGTCTCTAGTAATAAGCCATAACCTGCTCCCTCCTTGAACTTCTTCACTCTGCCACTCAACATAAGAAAGTTTCCCTCTGAGCAGGTGTGGCTATAA